ACAAGTCATAATAATAAACATTTTTATTTCATAGTATATTTAAAGTTATAATTAGTTTTTATGCTAATATCATAATCAATACCACAGGCGTAATTTAGTTAAATTTTAGCTGGAGCAAAACTAAAAATTGTTGGAAACTGAAAAATTACCCATAAAGTATCTACTTACAAAATGGTTTGCTGCAGTTATATATAATTATTTATTCATGAAGATCTTTTATTCTTTTGCTAAGATACTTACTAAGAACTTCAATATTTGTTCAAAATATATTATACTTAAATGACTCTAAAATAAATAATGGGACTCTAAGATTGACATCTGTTTTCTTGATGTTAGTCGTGCATGTCACTATTAATGTTAGGAAACTGTAACAAACAACCCTCTATTATTTAAAAATGCTTTGGGCATGACAGTACAACAAAATAATGATAACAAATATTACATCACAATATGATCATAATATTGGATCAAAAATCAAATTTATTGTTTTATTGACTATATCTTGAATAAGATAAGATTTAAGTTAATAAGGTATTTGCTTTAAAATAGTTTAAAATCCATAAATTCATGCTTTTTCAAGGTTAGGTTAGGTTAGGTGCACACACTGCAGAGGTGGCGGTAGCCGTTACGGCAAAATTAAGCCAGAATCAATTTTATCGCCACAGCAGCGGCACTGTCATGACAACAGAATTTTACCGCCAACACTGCAGTGTGACAACTTTTACTGATATTTTGAGTTATTAAAATTAACAGTAAAAATATAAGTATTCGTGGATTTAAACCTTTTTTTTTACATTTATTAAGTTTACCATGCTTACTGTCCTACTTACTTGAACTAAAATTATTAGTATTGGTTTTGTCATATAATGCATTTCAGTTAAATGTATTATCAATATGTTTACACTACAATTTGTGGCCTGTGTCATCCACAAGATACTTACTAAAATGGGTCTATATATTTATAATTTTGTGGCTTTATTGTTAAGTAAAATGTAACTTCATTTATATATTGTTACCAAGGTATTAATATATAATGTTATCCAGGTATAAATTGGATTATAATCATAATGTTTTTAAATTATTAAATACTAGTTTCTTTAGTATTTTTTTTTTTTAATAGGACTGACCTAACAGCAATAATAAAAAGAGAAATGTAAAGAGTGGTTTGTCATAATATAACAAAAGATGATAATTTAAAACTAAAATCATTTTAATTAGACCCCATTATATTTTTTTATTGTAAGTAAATTATTGAAGTTTATGAGTATTAGATATAATTTAACAACTTAATATACAATTAAGATAAAAATAGCAATTAAATGTTTTGTTATTTTTTAAATAATTGTATATTTAACGAATACTGCATTAGTATACTACCATTATTTTTAATATATATATTGAAAATCATATGTTTAAATACATAATTATTATTAATAATTAATTCTAATAATACCTGATAAATTGTGTTTCCTTTAAACGTTGAATAAATGGAATATCAATAATTAAATATACTATATATTATTTATACACAAATCATAGTATGATGATAATTATTAAAATCTATGACTATTAAAACAAAGATTTTTTTAATTTTAGATTTTATATATATTTCTTTATTCAATGTTATAAAGTACATCACTGTACGATTTATGCTGTACAAACCTATATATATATATTTATTTGTTATATATATGCATCTATTGAGTGATTAATTAGAAATACTTTTTTTGCATAGATATGATTATTGACATATTTTATGAAAAGTGATAATAAAACCAATAATTTATGCATAATGAAATACTGTGTTTAAAACTAAACAAAACTTATATGTTAAATACCTATTATTCTTACTTATTTTAAACAATCTATGAAAAATTGTTTGCGAAATTTCTCGATACTTTTAATTTTAAATCAAATTATAAATTTAAGTATATTCGAAGAGCTAATAATAATAAGTATTACATAAAACATTATTGAATGTCGAACTTTTAAATTATAAAATATTGTACTGATTATACTTATATAATAATATATTATAAATAATAAAAGTAAGTTTTTAATTACAAAATGTATATTATAAAATAAGTATAATAAAATTATATTATGAACTGTAAAAATTATTTTTGTCTTGTTCAAAAGAAATATATATATTTTTGATGATGAAGTATATTGATAACTATAAATAAAATTTGACTAACAACACATTCTGCATTTTATTTTAACATTTTCTTTATGATCTAATCAATAAGAATGTTAAATTATTAATATATAAACTCTAAATAATTAATTTATCATACAAAATATTTAAAATCTTAAAATGTATAAGCATAGTCGAAAGTGGTTAACTTGAAGTTGAAGGGACCTGCCGGAAAGATAGAGTTATTCAGTAATTTGAGTTATCTAAGGATAATACAATTATAAAAAATTCTAGGGACCTGGGAAAAAGCTCAAGTTAACCAAGTTCGACTCTATAAGATACTAATTTTTGTTTTAAGTAAAGGACATTCAGATCACTACAAATCATTATAAGTGTTTTGAGACAGACTTATGTGTCAACTTAAATATTTATTAATTAATTATACTTATTATATATTGTTTTTTTTTTGTTTGATCTGTAGAAACAATTAAGCCTTACAAATGTTCTTGTGGAAGAATGTATGGTTCAAAGACGAGTTATCGACTTCATATCAGACTCGAGTGTGGCAAAGAGCCTACATTTTTATGTCCTCTTTGCCCTTTTAAAACGTATAGAAAATTTAATCTTAAAAATCACATGTGTTTTAGACATGGCCATTTATTGATGTAATTAATTTTTTTTTTATCCTTGATTATTAGGATTATTCAATTGAAGGGTGGGCGGGAATAACGTGCTATGTACTAATTCGTAAATGTTCAGGAACAACTAAAAACGAAAACTGTATTATACATTACCTAGCCGGTTTCGAAGTATATATACGATGATTGTGTACGATAAAAACATTCTGGGAATTTTTCGATTCTTAAAATATATCGAGATTGCTTCATAGCACGTTATTCCGCGAAAACATGAAAATTGAAAAAATGTTACATAGCACGTTATTCCCGCCCACCCTTCAATTGTATTATTTACTAATTTATTATTATATTTAGAAGGTATGATAATATGTTAAACGGAAAAAGTTTTTTATTATTGAAAAAAAAAAATAATATATAGTTGAAAGATTTTTATATGTTTGTACCATACTAAATTAGTTTGTTGAACTTTTAAATTTATTAAATTGGTGATAAGTTATAATTTATATTCTTTAAATCAGTTTTATTCTTAAGTTTAGTAGTTATGATGAAATTATATTTATTATGTAGTTTGACAATGAGTCAATTTTTATTGAAATTGTTAAAATATTAATTTTCTTGATTGCATAAGTTAAGTATCTAAACACATCTATTAAAACAAACACATAAATATTTTAAAAGAAATTTTGATGAAAAAATGTGTCTCCGTGGCTAAGTTAAGGTTAAACAATTAAGTGTAACTTTAGCATAATTTAAGTGAATAAGAACTTGATTATTAATTTGGATATAGAGTGACAAACCAGCAGATTTTACCATGTTATTTGTTTTATTATATCTTGCTTAGAAGCTTTCAGAACCTTTTCTAATAAAATGTATATTTCAATTAAAACAACTAGGTATTCAATTCATCATACATATTAAGTATATTACTTATAATATATATGGGTCTGTACAAAAAGATATTGATTGAAGAAGCGCCCATCCAGTGGACTTGATGACATGATAAATCAATGTTAGTTCTATGTGCTAAACAACTTCAGTTAGTTAGTGTACTTAAATCTAAACAAATTTAATGAAAACAATTTTATTTTATATTTTGTATCAACTTATTAATATTCTCCTGTTTCTAATTATATCCTGTCATACTCTAATAGATACGTGTACCTATATTTTATTAATTTTAGACTAATTGTTAAAAAAAACTCCAATAGGAATAATATAAAAAGTAATATTTTTTGATTTTTGTTCCTAGTAGTGTACCTTGCCTTATTTCTATCGTTTTAGAACTTATTTTACTAGTGTTCATTTTAGAAATTAACTAAAATTTTTATTCCTGGATAATTAATCAGTTTATACTTTATACCTAAAGGATTAATGTTGTGATAAAGTTTTCTGACATACGAATGTGACAAAGTAATTTTCTTTACACTAAATTAATGTGTTATCTAAAACAGGGGCACATCCAAGAATTTTTGAAAAGGGTGATCTAAATATTTTTAACATTTAAAAAGAATACTATCAGTGGTTTGCACCTTAAACATTTTTAATTTTATCAGTAAAGTATCACTAATGAACCATTTTCCCCCATTTTAATACTAGATAGAACTTATTTCTATAGTATTACTAATTTCCAAATTTCTTTAAGTACCTATTTACTGAATGAACTTTATATTGTACAAATATGGAAGCACTTGTGAGAAGGGTGCAATAAATTGTGAAAATGTTATATGTAATTTATTTTAAACTATGCTTTTTATAGCCAGAGTAGTTGAAACTTTCTGACTTCTTAATATTCTTAAATTGTATACCGTTTAATTTTATATATGAATGTATTTTATATTATAATTCTTTTTAAAACTAATTATTATAATATTATATACTATTTTTGATGAACGGCGTCTTAGAAGAGCCTAAGTATGTAGTTTAGTTGGGATTAATTAAAAGTTTTTTTTACATAAATATGTAACTGTATTTAAAATTTGTTGTATGATACAGGATATAACTTAAAAAGTTTTGTTTTTTTATTTATATTTAGGTACTTATTAAAAAATATCAATAAACTTATTAATTTAAATACAATGTTTTCTGTTTCAGATAAATTAAAAGCAAAGTACAATGGATAAATCTAAGAATATTTTTTTTAGATATCATCAATCACTTTAATAACCTCTTAAAAATTAAACTAACATTTTATTCTATGTTTTGCTTTAAACATTCCTAATTTATGCATGGGAAATGGTTGGTGGCAGAGCTATATTTTATCTTGTGGTAAGTCTGAATATTCTGCGTAATTCGGGTTTATTATTTACCATGGTTTATTGGGTACTTACTTGACATATTTATTTATTGATGTTAAATTTATAACCCTGCTTAACGTGTACAGTCCCATGGGGCTTATTGGTGTATAATGCATTTGAGAGAAGGGTTTCTGAATAAATATAGTGTAACTAATGTAGTTTTATTTATTAGTCATTTTAATCTAATATGATAATTGTTTTTGTCATAGCTTCATCTACCAAATATAACAGGATGATGCTTGATCCATTGACCAAAGCACGTCTACAATACTGGACCAGTACTTCGGAAACATTCCATTCGACCCTAGCTACAGCACCTAGACAGTCTACATCATCAACACAACAGCCATTGACAACTAGCGCATCACCTGAGAATTCTGATGGCACTGCCACTGCTACTGAACCACGTTTCCCATGCCCCAAGTGCCCCCGTAGCTATCGAAATCGAAATCACCTTTACCGCCATGTGCGATACGAATGTGACCGCATTAAACAGTATCGCTGTGGCATTTGTTTTAAAGACTTTTATAGAAGAGATAACTTAAAAACACATATCAACTATAAACATCTGAATAAGTTAAATCTTACTGCAGCTCCTCCATCCCCTGTTACTGGTGCTCCCACTAAAGAAGTTTAAAATACTAAACACTTGTATCTTGTTTTCAATACTTCCAGAGTCTAAATTTCCTAGAATTATTTATGCACACACAAACACACATAATATATACATATATGTATATGTATATTTTGTTAGTTGAATTAAGTTATTTTTGGTATCTTATTAAAAGTCGATTCAAAATATGAAGTACTAAATAAGGTTATTTTATTTTTGAACTGGCACATGGACATTGCTCGAATTAATATTCTCAATTAATCAGTTTATTATTTACCAGGCTTCTTGTACGTTATATATTCATATATTTTTTAACTTCATTGAACTTGACTAAATTTTATGTTAGCCTATATTTTAAAAATTTTACTATAAATCGTTTACTACCAAGATCGTAAATTATCTTTTCAATACTGTGTCGCTATTATTGTTGCAAGTTTCATTATTTTGTTTTAAAAGAAAAGTTTATTGAACCAAAAATATAAATTCAAAATAAAGTCTTATTTATTTTATAGTTTAGTTATGGTTGTATATAAATATTCCAGGTATAATTATTTATTAAATTTTTTCATTATTGGAATTTTATAATTTTCATATACATCTATTTATACTTCTAAATATTATTATTAATTTATATATTAATTTATAATCTTGATGTGCAATACATTTTCTCACTGACTGTAGGAATATTTTATGTACAGATATTTTGTTATAAAGTATATGTTTTCAAGTCTTTAAAACAATTTACCGTTACCTAAATGAATTGATGAGTCTTACATGAAAAAATAAGTTAGTAGTTAAAATTATTACTTACATAGCATAAAACGCGATCTGAAAGTGCAATAAGTCGATTGTGATAGCTCGAGATGGCCTATATAATGTCAATCGTAGCAGGATAAAAAAAATGTATAAACATTAGGTACTATATAATATTTGTTTACGTAAAGTTGTTAGTGTAGAAGATATTACAATTTATATGCAGTTATAAATTATTAAACCTACCAAAAAGGAAAAAAAAATGTTTAAATATTTATCTCGTCGGGTTGGCATTTTGTTTTATTTTTGTTTTATTTTTTTTTTTAAATTTTGAAAGGGTTTTAATTTTTGTTGTATAGGTACTTATTTATTTATTTATTTTATTAGTTTAATTTGCAAAGGAATTTTATCCAGCATTATTTTCTAGGTGGTGGGAGGTTAGCAAATTTTTATTTAATTAGTCGTTTAAGGGTAACAATGGTGCAATTAAGTAATTTAAATATTTGAAGTACTTATTCAAAATAATAAAATAGCTACACACAATTAATTTTGATATTATTAAATTATTTTTATTTTTACTTTTAATGTGGTGGGTCTAACAAATGTTAAGTACTTAAATCTCAGATCATCAACAATTATTATTTGTTTATTTATCACATACCTATATGTTAATATGTATATGTAACTAGACATTTTTCGTGCATATATTTGTGTTTGTGCAATATTTAAAAAATTATTGTTACGTAATTCAACATTTACCTGATTTATTATTCAATTAATTTGGATTATAATCTTTTGTTTTGTTTTAATTGAAATTTGTATTTTATCATGCATTAATTTGCTAAAAAAAATTATATTGTAAAAGCATATAAAATAATTTTATCTAACTTTTGTGTAATACATTATCAAACCAATATAATTAATTACTAAAGTTCATGCAGTAACTAAAATCACTGTTTATTGTAATACAATTTTGTAATCAATTTATTGAGCTTGGAACTCTAATAAACAAACTATTTATGAATTATTGTGCTATCCTACTTATACTTATCCTAGTAATATTATAAATACATACATATTGTAGTAATAATAATTATTCTCTTTTGTTATAGATTTAGTCCAATTTTACATAATATAATATAATATGGCAGTTCAAATAATATGTATGTAAAATTGAAATTACTCTTGGACAAATTATGATAATTTATGAATTATTTAATGGTATATAAAAGGCAATTAGGAATTGATGTTAAATTCAAAGGTGAAGTATTAACATTATAAATTTAATTTCTGAATATATTTTAATATTTGAGTAGGCTTGCGAAGATAAGGAAATTAAATACAAAATATAAAATACATTTATATTGTACTGAATTAAATAAATAAATATGTATAAATTAATTAGAATATCCATAAGTTATGCACATTTTAAAAGTCAAACATGTATTGTTGATTTTTTTATTTTAATGGTAACATAAATAAAAATGTGCACAATATTAAGTACTTGTCTATACTTAATTCCATTTAAGAATAAACCAGGTGGTGGAAACTCAGTTCATGGACAGACCCTTATGACGATTAATAGTAAAGCTGCCTGAAAGAATTAAGAGGCCCCAATATTTTTCACGCATTGAGGAAGTTTATTCATAAATGGAATAAAGTATAATTATATTAATTTTATCTTGCATTTTTATTTTAATATAAAATACCATATTCATATTCTAAGTATCAATACATAATTGTTAATATACACATTTATTATTTCTAGTAGATTTAACCAGATGGCACACACATTTGTTATTTATATTATAGTTTACAGATATATACTATTTTATGTACAAATATTTAAAAATTGTATTAAAATGTCCATCATTAGTGCACCCTATTTATACTTTATATATTTTGCAGGTTTTTGAGTTGTGCATGAGTTGCATTTAGCTAGAATATATTTGTATTAGTAGATTATGAGCTATATTAATAAATATAAATTATACATTAAATAATCAAAGAGGGCGCTTCATAAACAATATGTTAAATTATGCATTATTTTAATAATTTTCATACACTTGCATTTCTATACATTCATATTTAATATGCTTGTATTTTAGAATAAAAATATTTTAACATTGATAAATGTATAAGACATTAAAAATATATTACTGAAGAATAAGTATAAATTTCAAATATTTCTATACAATTTTGAGAATAATTTAATTCTTGTGTAGCGCCCTCAAAGTGTCATACAGTGTTTTTGTAGAATTATTGATTTTGCACTTATTTAAGGAATTAATTATTTTTTTATTTTTAGCCTAAATATGTCTTAATAATATTATCCTAATAAAGTGCAAAATTATTGTGTGTTTTTAAGCTTACATCCATGAAGTAGTTGTCGAGTTTTTTGATTGATTGCATCGTAAGTGAATGTAAAAAAAAATTAACCATTTACTTTTTTTGTGTATTTAAATTTTTATATTATAATTTTATTTCAGACAACTATTGGAATTTACCCGACCCTCAACAATTGGTACGTTCAGCATGCTACCATTGTGGTAAAACATATCGTTTCAGGGCTACCCTTAATCGACATTTAAGATACGAGTGCGGTAAAGAACCAATGTTTGCTTGTCCTATGTGTCCTAAACGGTGCAGCCGTAAAAGTAATCTTCATCAACATATACGTATACGTCACAAATCTTCTGTTTCTGTTGAACCTGAATCACAGTCTGCATGAAAAAGGCAATCGTTCAATATTCTCTAGTCATCTGAATAAACATATTAGCGTGCTCAAAAATATTTTATATATAATATACACACGCTCTTATTAGTCTTCCCGAATCATTTTAACTATTGTATAATTTATATATATTTTTATAGAGTGTGAAAAAAATGTGTGCCAAATATTAACATTATTAATAAAATGTTCTTAGTAATAACTAATAAGAATTAGATTTGTATTTTTTTTAATAAAATTGTATTATTAATAGATTTTTTAGATCATTTTGGTTTTAATTGGAAGTATTAATATAGGAAATTTGGCTAATTATTATGTTTTAAAAATTATGTTATTAAAATATTTGATCTATTTCAGATATTTTTATTAATATGTCGACTGGAATTAGGTTTATTTTAACATTGCTAACATGCAGTTCTTTTATATTCTTAGTAAAGCAGTAAATGTAGTGTTTTTGTGATATTATTTCTTTTTTATTTATTTATTTTATGGAACAGCTTTAAATTTATTTTAGGGGTACTCTGAACATTTTATTTTTAAAAAAAACTAAGCAATTGTGGTCATTAAAAATAATGGAAAATTAAAATTAGATTAGAAATCTTCAGATAAACATTATATTGATAAAATCAAACTAGACTTGATTCGGTTATTAATTTTAATGATTTATCACTTCATTCAAATTTATTATACATTTAATGATAAATCATAATATATCGTTATTTATACTCTATTCCAAATCATTTGGAAAAAACTGGCCATCCTCGGAATGGTAGGACTGCTGTGATTGGCCAGTAGTCGGCAGCTCACAGACGGTAGCCAACAAAGCGAACATGCGCGAAGCGCTTCATATTTCCGTCGTGATTTTTCCCAAACTTATTTGAAATGAAGTATAGTGTTGTGTGAACAAAGATGAATTACTGCATATTAGCTTAGATTATGTATCTTATATTGGGAATTAAATATAAAATATTTTAAATTTTGATTTAGGAAGTTCCAATTGAATTAAAAAATAAGAAAAAAAAGAAAATAGAAAAAATAAGAATGTTTTGTTTACTTTACAAAGTATAAAGAAAGTTAAAATATTAAACGTAATTCATATTTTGATATGGAATAGGTACTTGAGATAGTTAATTTCATGTATCTTATTAAATATATGAATGTATTATTAAACAATTGCATACAAAATTAAATATAAATGCTATTCAATGATCTATTAAAAATAAAAAAAAACTATTTTGATTATGAATGTGTGACATATAATGTGTAGATAATTATTAAACATTATTATAAATAAATATAACTATAAATTGAAAATAAGATCCACAGACTAAGTCTTAAATTAGAGTAACCTCTGGCAGTGAGTGACTGGTTTTCTACCAGTCTTGTCAAACCGTATCCATTGATTAATTATTGGTTTTCATCGTTGGCTTTCAACAATCAGCTATAGCCAACAATTTGCTTTACTGTGTTAATCTTAGAAAAATACAAACTAGACAGTTGTTGGAGAAATTATGTTCTAAAGAGCGCACCATTCAGTGCT